CAATTAAATACCTTTTGAAGTGGATGGTAGACTTTCAATTATATTTTCTGTAGAGCTCAATGGTCGTTTTCTTGACTGACACTTATCTGAAAATAATAATGTACTTCGTTTTGATTCAGAAATTGAAATTCAAGAATTAGCATAAAATAATTTACTTACAACTAGATGTTGATTGGCCGTCAGATTTATTTTCCTTTGATTGCTCAACATCTGGTATGTGTTTAACTGAAAACAAAAGTCTCTTGAAAAATTAAGAACATACAAACTTATTATGGATAACGAGTTTGAAATAGCAGTCAATCTCAATCGAAATTAATGGAATGAGGAAAAGATAAATATGTAATTCCTAAAGTTTAGATAATATATCGTTAAAAAAATTACCTGGCACATTCAGAGTTGGAATTGCAATGTTAGAAAGCCTATTGTTCCGACAGTGAAATTTTTTCTCAAAATGTGCATGACACACACGACGATATTTATAAACAAATTCGTCAGGTAAATCTAGTATATGTCCACCCACAGACGATCTCCAAGATTCGAAACGCTCTGTTTCTTGTTTTGGATGAGGAAACAAGTGGAGTACAGGACATGAAACTGCAAGAGAGAAATACAATTATGTAGAAATAAGCACGGAGACAATGTTTTAGCAATAGAATCTTTAAATGGAATTCATTTACGAACCACCACGAGCCTCAGAGCACCCAGGTACACAACACATTTTGTCAGATGGCATTATGGAAGTGATAAAGAGTCCTATCTCACAATAAATAAATCAATTTCACAATCAAATATTGTAGCACTACCGGAGGAGAGAACTCGACTCAACGGATTTACATAGAAGCACGAATTTAAGACTTAAAAACAGCAGAAACGCAACGTTCACAGCTCAGAAACCATGACATTAAATTGTAATCTTTGACATTTTAAATAAAACGTTTTTGGTAGTGTTTTTTTTATATATTTGTAGTGTTACTCTATTCAAACGTGTTTAATACCATTTTTCAAATATTGTACCTTCATACGATAACGATTTCATAAAAATAAAGGTAGTTTTATTTGTGTCAAATTTATCGATATTAAAGTTTTCTGTAATTCTTTAGAAGAAAAGATTAAATGGAAGTTCTGTTAGAGCTAAAATTGTACCAAATAGAAAAAAAAATTAAAGAAGGGCTACATTGTAGCCCATAATAATGAAACTAAACTAAAAAGGTCATTGTTAGTAAAGTTTATGAGTGTTCTTTTGTGACAACTCAATTAAATAATATAATAGCGATACTATTGCCATCTATACGCGTGAGTGGTCAACTAATGTCCATATTATGAGACTAAATTAAAAAATAACATATTATATTCAAACGTATGCGGATATCGATCAATTTAAATTAACCATCTTATTTCGTTGTAGAACCTAATACTTTGTTCTGAGTTTAACGTCCCTGATCGTATCAGTCTGTTACGAAATAGCGACAGTTACAGTTATTTTTTTTTTCAATATGAACTTGTTCCGTTAGTTGGCTCTGTAGGTAAGAGCGCCGATATAAGTTACGCATAGTTTTGGATTTAAACAAGTGTGGCAGAACCTCGTAGAGTATATTGTACTGTGAGCAGCGCTGGAATAACATCACAGTCCCGCAGCACAACAGCTTCTTCTTTTTAATTATTGGCGTTGCCCTTGTAGATTTCGCTAATGTGAGACTGACAGCATCACCCTGTTCGATTTTGAATAATACCCAGTAACCAAATAAACAGTTATTCTGTTACAAAAAAGGGACAAATTGCAAAGTTACGTTATTTCAGAAATAAATGAGTCTGGATATGCTGGGCTGACGTCAGTCTGGCAACGCCACGACTATAAAATCGAAGAGAACTTTGTCATCTTTTAGTCCCTTATTTATCAATCTGGGATAAATAACAGCGATTAATGGCTAGAAGGCTTCTAAAGTTTATTTATAAGAAATAATTATATTTATTACTTTGAAGCTTATTATTTATAATAAGTCATTTTAGCTTGAGTTCATCATTTAATGTTTGACATCCTGCGAATATTCAGATTAAGATTCAGCGCTCTAGGGACCTAGGGTATAAGGTGGAGTCGTAAATTACGCACAATATATCAACAACTAAAAAGTATTTTTTCTGAAAGTCTGAAAAAGTATTTGCTCTGACTATTCTAAATAGATCAGTGGCACTCACAGACATTGAAGAAGTATTTAAAAAATAAAACTTAGTTCTTGACATCATACTAGATGTCACTAGCGATGTTTGGGTATTGTCTATGATATTCATTTAAATTTTGATTCTGACGTAATAAAAGTAAATTGAGTATCGAAGATTAATAAATATAACATAGGTTCGTATAATATCTAACTTTCAAATTATTTATATTATTGGTTAACTTCTAATGAGTCAATTTATTCGAATTCAGTTTTAGAATCAAGAACAAAAACGAAGCGCAGAATTAAGCTTGTTTTTTTATGTGCAGTATTTCCAATTATGTGCATCCACACGTCGAATTATATTAATATTAATATCAGAATCTATTCAGTCTAGCTAGACTGTTAGTTAGTACTTGTGAAAGTCGAAAACTTTGCCAACGGTTCGCAAAACTAAGGCCGGAGATCTTGTACTGAGAACAACAGGCAAGAAACTCAGCAAGGGCTGCTTTTTTATTCCTGTTTTATGTCACACAGACAAGTCTTATTGGAATATGACTTAATTAGACTATGAAATAACTTTCCATTACAATATCAGAAATCCCACATACATGTTGACAAATCGATATATGTACTATATTCATTACAAAAGAAAATGGACGAAATTAAGTAGTCCAGTGCAGACTCACCCCACCGGCAGCACCCGTTACACTCAATAAAAAAGCTATTTACAAGGTATCCGATTATATAACAGATAAGAATGCTTGGAATTAAGATGGTCCAGCAATTGGATAGGTGATTTCTTCTAAGCTCCATTATTATTATGTTATCATTATAAGACCATAGTTTTTTTTTCTCTATTTATAATGTATTGATCTGGTAATGACATGGTTTTTAGTGAATGTCATTACTTCTATTAGAGCTGGTGAATTTCTTGCTCGTTCTTCTTATCAGCCAAAAGATGTCCTACCCTGCGATTCTATAAAAATTCAGATGCGAATCCGAAGTGTAGAAATAATATTTATTCTGATTTTTGTGTAAAAATACATAACAAAATTGATTGGACCTACGTGTCTCAGATATTCTATTCCTATGTCATTTAGAAACTTCACTTCACTAATAACACAAAACGTTATTACCAATTCAAGGTTGAGCGAATACCGCTTTTTGAAGTGATTTCGGACAGCTGAGTGAAATCAAATTCAGGTTTATATTTTTACAGAATCGCAGGGCAGAACGAGTGGTAGAGAAAAAACGTTAGACGATTCAAAAGTACTTTTATTTTTTTTTGACTTGTTCCGCTATACACGGAAATTTTACCAACATCCTGTAGTGAGAGAGACACGTGACTCAAGAGACTGAACAGTAGTTATAATTAACCAATTCTTCATTCTGCTCTTGTGTTGTTTTTTTTTAGTAGAAAGTACTTTTAAGAAATCTTCTTCTTCTCCTTCTTTTATTAATGGCTTATATGCGCATTTCGCACAATTTTGCCAATGTCAAGTGAATAAATTAATTTCTACATGTAAAATGAAAATGAAATTAATGAAAGATCTTAAGAAATCTATTTGAATAAAGATTAATTTGACTTTGATATTTAAATGTCAATTCGTGATGTCAAACTAAAGTGAATAGAATTGTAAGCATTGTTATTGATCTGTATTTTTATACAAATAAAAAAAAAGAAAATAAATAGAAACTAACATAATAAACGGATTTTTTATGATAATTATCGTTTTTATGACCTTTATTGCTGATTAATAAACCCTATTCATTTATTCACCACACATAATATAAAATATTATTGAGATTTGATGTAGTTTTGTTGCTTTAAGTTCAACAAAGGTCGATAAAATAAAAAAATACATAATTAAATAATCATATTTATTTTTTAATAACGACTTATTGTTAATATTCCAATATTTGGTATCAGTAGCAACTTTTAGTTACATATTTTAGAGAAAAAAATATGAATAAAAAAGGTGTTTTGCCCCGTCTTGCCTCAAGGTGTTGGTAGGATGGGGTACCCCCTTGAAGTAAGATGGGGTGATGAAAATGATCCCAGAGAAAGTTGATTACTTAGAGCTGGCAGAATTCGCAGTAGTGCATGGCGTCATCAACATCATTTTCTATTCCTGCGTAGCTATTATGAGACCATCTTTCTCATACTGAGCATGATATCCAACCTTCAATGGAAACAGAATATACTTCCGAACAATACACACATGGCCTGTCCCCCTCTTCTTCACTTTCATCTTCTGATGATGAGACTCTTCATCGTTTAGCTGTTTTTGTTGTTCGGCTATTTTTACGAAAAACAAACAAGAACATTATTTTTCTCATTGGGGGGCAAGAGTTACCCCATTTTCTAGCAATAAAAACAAAAAAAAAATACTAGTCAACACTCTGAAGGAAGCAAACGACATTCACATTTATACTTTTTCGTAATTGTATTGATATCTAAGTTTCGATTTTTACAAATTTCAATTTTTTTAATATGTTAGTTAAAAGAAACGGAAATGGCTGTCTTTGGTCCATTCGTTATCTGCAAAAATCAACTTTTGCTAGAGTCGCCATCTAGTGGAGATGCTTTTTTAGTGCTTTCGTTTTTTTTTAATACTTCCTCATTTAATGAACCGCTACAAACTATTTACTTGTTTGATTTAGAAAATTTGTTTTTTTATAATATTTTTTGTTTGCTTTTTCTGTTAGCGGACGATTTTGTCAAAAGCAGATAATTTTATAATAAAATAAAATAGCTCTAAACGAAAATATAAATATGTTGGTGTTTTTAGTAGTTTTGAGGACAGTAGATTTTGCACTATAAAAACTGGTCACACCAATAATACGACACGTCCACCTACCTTGTCAAACTTCCACGGATTCACTGTTTCTGCATGACGATTTTTCATGTTTTAACTTTAAAAAATGGTAAGGATTGATTTAAATTCTCTCTGGAGTGTTAAACTAAGTGTACCTTATTGAAGTCATGCATGAACAAAGTGTTGGCTGCGTGTTTACTTGATAATTTGTAGTGTGTCATCATCATTTACAAGTCGGCATCTATGGGATTCTGATTTACACGTTTCGCCTTTTCATTATAAGAAATAGAGATATAACTCATATAAATAATGTATTCTTTTCTTACGTTTCCAAAGCCGTTGAGACTAGATATCAAGAGGAAATTGACTGCGAGGTCTGACCGTGTCAAGTGCGTGGATCAACATCCCACTGAACCATGGCTCCTCTGCTCCCTGTACAACGGCGACGTAAACATATGGAATTACGAGACTCATTTACAGATCAAGAGATTCGAGGTATGTGAAATAGAAGGGTGTATAATGTTGTTTAATATTGGACCTCATAATACTTTCATAGCTCTGGAGGTATGAAAGTATTCCCAGGAATTGCATATAGTATTGTATATAGTAGTCTTACCATATCAGCCACCATATATATACTATGAGTAAGGATATTTATTGAATGATAGAGATGACATTAAACACCCAAATACTTAAAAACAAATATAGATGCTTAAAATTTGACCTACTGAATTAGAATAAGTTTCAGATAAAGAAGGTATGTATGTTTCGATTTAGTTAATGTTTTAAAAGTAGAAATCCATTTAGATTTTTAATGCAGTAGTGCCTATATTATAGATTTTTTTTACATTATTTATTTATTCCACCCTAAGTTTAGTTACAATAATGAAAAAGATCAAGTTTTTGGGTTATATTAATGCTTTCTACCTAGAGGTTAATGATATTTATATAAATGTAAGTTTTACAATATTCACATTGAATTTTAAAATATTAGTGAGATAATAATAAAAAAAGAATGATCCTACTAATGTATTTAAAACAAATTATTACAAGATCTTATTAGAATCTAACCTAGTGTGATTAAATATATTAGCACCATGAACCTCTGAAAAAATTTAGATAAAAGTGATTCCCTCAACAAACAGGACCCCTCTTACCAAAGAAAATAATAAATTGGTTGTTGGAAATAGATGCCTTGATTTAAAATTTTGATTTGTATGTTTGAAATAATCTGTACACCATCAATATTTTCTTTTAATGGCTACTTTGTGTTAACCGGAATTCTGTCAATATCACATAGGTGACTATTTCATGATCCAAGTAAATTCAACAAAGCCCCGTCACGCGATTAAAAAAATTCTATAACTGAAAATTTCATCACTAGTTTTATTAGTTCAATTACATATATAGATTAGCTGATATAACAGCAAGAACTAAAACAGATCAAAATAAATATTTAAGGAGCCCTCTATACAACAAACTTGATATTTTTTGCTTGTTTCCAGTATGGAATTGTTTATGAGTGAGTCTGACTCATACTTTGCTGGTTTTCTTGTTTATATGTTACCTGATTTGGTAAAACGGTAAAAGCAAATAATATGCCATCTAAATTAACTCAAGTTCTAGGAGTATGTCCACTATTTTGCCGCTCTACAGCTGTGATTTGAAATTCTTGTTGTATTTCATTGAGTCAGATGGAAGTACTGGTAGCATGTTTTTTTTTGTAACATTCACTTTGGGAGAGCCATGTCTGTTAAAATTATGGTTTTAGCTGCTGAATGGATTTAATTAATTATTAAAAAGAGAAACTTGATCATAAGCTTCTCTGATAAAATATCATATTGTCTGAGCCTACCACAAAATCCTTTAATGCTCTAATACAAGTGCATTTTCTATGATGTGATTAAAAGAGGTAAAATATGCTCATCTGGTATTTAAACAAAATGATGAATTGGCAGAAAAGTTTTATTGATATATATTGTTGTGATAAAAATATAAAATCATTCCAACATTAAAAGTATTTTACTCTATAATGTTAACATTATAGATCTAGAATGTAAGGATTTAGTTCATTAGAATATTATTTTGCTCAAATTTCAGCTTACTTGTTTCATAATTATAAATATTATTAATAAGTAAATTTTTGCAAAGTTATTGATATTAATGGTATGTTCTGTAAGTAAATAATACAGTAATAGCATAGTGGTCAAAACATTTAAGTTTTAAGATTTTTTTTTTATTAAAATGAAATAGTCACTTAAAATATTTATGAGTCACAATATATTTTATACAGAATATAAAACTTATTATATATATTTCATGTTTATTAATTAATATTTGTTCTGATTTCTTTTATATTATTTTCCTGAATTATTAACATAATAGTATCTCCAATGTAATAGGTTTGCGACATACCCGTGAGAGCTGCGAAGTTTGTGCCCAGAAAAAATTGGGTCATCACGGGTTCAGATGACATGCAGATCCGTGTCTTCAACTACAATACTCTGGAAAGAGTGCACTCATTCGAAGCACATTCAGATTATGTCAGATGTATAGCCGTACACCCTACACAACCTTACATTTTGACAAGCAGTGGTGAGTGTATTTTTTTGTAAAATAATCTTCTGTCATTATTAGGTTTATGGTAGAAGCTGGGGAACACACTTTGCACAATTTAAATGATCATTTGTTATCGGAATTCTATATTGGAAGCATTAATAACTGGCTGACATGTATGAAATGAAATATGAGTGACAAGGGGACTGAGTGCCATGTAAATTACACAAAAGACATGTGTAATTAATGTTACTGACCACTTGTGGTGTTCAGTCCTCTCTGTGTACCTTGAGGATTGATGGGAAAATAGTCATACTGCCGTCTTTACGATAAGTGCAATAACTCGAAATTTTAGACAAATTGACTTAAGTACATATTAGGTAGACGGAAAAATGAGATATATATTTTATTATAGGTATATATATTTTTATTGACAGTAGTTTTGATATGATATATTCTTTTGATTGTCAGATACACACAAAAACATAATTTTAATTTTTAATTGCGATTAGCTTAAATGTACCCAAACCAAGTTATTGCACTCTTCATAATGGTTATACATAATGATTTGTTTTACAGATGACCTGTTAATAAAACTATGGAATTGGGATCGGAACTGGGCTTGCCAGCAGGTGTTCGAGGGGCACACTCACTATGTTATGCAGATCGTCATCAATCCAAAGGACAATAACACCTTTGCTAGTGCCAGTCTCGACACCACAGTCAAGGTGCACATGATATTGCGTTAATTATTTGCTTGTTTATTGCTAAATGTGTAAACAGTAACTATGCTGTTGTGTTATATACAATGTTGTGGAATACTTAACACTAATTATCATCGTAAACAATTATGTTGTTTTCGGCTGGTGCTATTTGACGGAGAATCGAGCGTTTCATAGAATTTGTCGCAGCTGATGTTACGCGGTCAATTTTCCGTCAGATCTGCTTTGACCCTTATTCATATACATACTTGCATTTATTTTATTTTAAACAACTAGATCATTATTTTTTATAGCATATTTCTTATTTCTTTTTATTAAGTTTAATGGGCGCTTCCTGGATGTCTGTACGATGTGATCATTTAAGGTACACATTGGATTTTAATGTGGTTTTATCAATGTCCAGAGTGATTCAAGAGAAAGGTTTATATGTATAATACAGGACTACGCACGCGTGCGAAACTGCGAAAAGCTTCTTTACAATTTTTAATGAGTTAATTAAATTTCTCTCACTAAATAAATATCTTATGAGAAAAAATATGGATTATGTGTTAAAGAACTTTTTAACGCGATCTTTTGTTCCTGTAGGTTTGGCAACTCGGTTCTTCTATTTCTAATTTCACCCTGGAAGGCCACGAAAAGGGCGTCAACTGCGTGGATTATTATCACGGTGGCGATAAGCCCTACCTAATTAGTGGTGCTGACGATCGACTTGTCAAGATCTGGGACTACCAGAACAAAACTTGTGTGCAAACACTAGAAGGTAAGCTACGATTCATAATTTATCTTCATTTGGTTTTCAGCATTTTATTTTGGGATTTTATGCTATTGTTTGTCACTATATTATATGCAAATTAAATCATAATAAAAAAAATAGGTTGAATACTTTTTTCACTTATTTAAAATTAATCAAGGTAACCTAATACTAATACCCGACGCTTGAACAGACTTGTTAGCTGAGTAGGAGTAGTTCAAATGTCGACTGTATGTAGAATAGCGATACTAGCAATGATAAGCGACACATCTGATAAAAACTTATATACATCAAGGTCACGCACAAAATGTGTCCGCTGTATCATTCCATCCGGAGCTGCCGATCCTCCTAACTGGTTCAGAGGATGGTACCATAAGAATTTGGCACGCGGGCACCTACCGCCTGGAGTCATCGCTCAACTATGGCTTCGAACGCGTGTGGACCATCTCCTCAATGCACGGATCCAATAACGTCGCCATTGGGTAATAAAACAATAATATAAGCAAGTATTTATCATTGCTGCTCTAGATTTGTTGTCTATCTATTATAATATTGTTTTAAAATACAATAAGAACATATTTTTCAGTTACGACGAAGGCACTATTATGATAAAAGTGGGCAGAGAGGAGCCAGCTATATCAATGGATGTGAACGGAGGCAAGATCATCTGGGCTAAACACTCGGAAATGCAGCAAGTCAACCTGAAGCAGTTGCCAGAAGGTACAGTGCAGAAAAATATTTCAGATAACCAATTGTCTTATTACTTGCAATTAAATTTTAGCTTGGTATCACAGCGTATGACGTGTTCGGTCCGCAATTTTCTTAAATCTCTTCATTAGATGGGAGGCTGATAATTTGTTATCTCGCGCCGAGTTCCAGTTTATTCCGAAGGCGCTTTAAAGCATTGGTCCCGGCAGTGTCTGTAGTCGTTATCTCTTGGCTTATGTTGTCCGATCTCCTTGTGTTTCTTTCTTATGAAGAAGATATGTGCCCTAGTAGTGGAAATATTAATAATAATAAAAGTAATATGTATAAGCTTACTAAAAAGTATGTGCCTTTTTAATTGTTTATTATGCTTTTGCACTTTAGGTACAGAAATCAAAGATGGCGAACGTGTACCGGTAGTCGCTAAAGATCTAGGTTCGTGCGAGATCTATCCTCAGACCATAGCTCACAATACAAACGGCCGCTTTGTTGTGGTATGTGGGGATGGCGAGTTCATCATTTACACAGCGATGGCCCTCAGGAATAAGGCATTCGGTACGGCTCAAGAATTCGTTTGGGCATTAGACAGTTCCGAGTACGCTACTTTGGAAGGATCCAGCACCATAAAAGTGTTCAAAAATTTCAGAGAAAGGAAGAGTTTCAAGCCTGAATATGGTGCAGAAGGTCAGTATAAAACTTTTTTATTATTTACGTATTTTAATGGCTCAAAATGTGAGTTTGTTTCCGTATCTTTGTTGTCTCTGGCGCTTTCATATGTAGCGCATAGTGTATTTGTATAATTGGTACGAATTAGAAATATTTATTACCTTTTTACACCTTGACTTCAAGCAAATTGAACTGAAAATATTTATGGAGATATTTAACATTATTAGTAGCTAGTGGATTTAATTGTTGCAGGTATATTCGGTGGATTCATGTTGGGTGTCAAATCTATCAGTGGCATGGCCTTTTCCTTCTACGACTGGGAGCAACTTGAACTTATCAGACGGTAAGCGTAATAGTAATAGTTTTATATATTGGCGAAGCGATAAGTAATTCTGAGCCTCTGATCTATGCCAACAATCCAAATCAACTCACAAATTCTTTTTATTGTGGTTAGAAGCTGTTTCTAAATATATTACGAGTGCTTGAATTTGAACCGATATATAATATCTAGTGCTTCGAATGCGAATTATCATATAAAAATAATGCTTTGGTTATTTGTCAGTAGTTTAACAAACTTAATTTTGGTATATAGTCTTAAGTCTGGTTCATTATTATAGTATAGCCAAAATTACGCCGGGTTTGTACAAAAGCCAAATTTCTCTGATAAATAAAAATTTGGCTTTTGTAATTTCAAAAGCGATTACAGAAAGGCTTTTCTAGTAAACTTAACGTTTGCTATGTGAATGTTATAGAAAATTAGCTTAGTAGCTATCAGAATAGCATTTGCGAATTGAACTAATAATGTGCTGAATTCGAAATAATAAATGCTTGGCGAGTATTTTCACAGCCGAAGCCCAGTGGTTTGCACGCTGGTTTCAAGGTGTCGCCATCACTTAGGTCCCGGTTTCGATTGGTGGTCGGGTCATTGTAGAAAAAGGACTTTTCTATATTGTATCGGGTCTGGTTTATGTTACCTTCGTTGCCTCAGAACCTTCATAATACTGTCGCTTTAGCTACTCGCCTTGAAAATTGAGCAATGTATGTGATGTTAAATATTAAAAATAAATAAAACTATGATTTTTATGCGATTGCCAGTCACTGTCACGGTTGGACAGGAAATTGAGGAGTTATCACCCATGTGAAGCCGGGCTGGCTAGATAAAAATTTAATTGAAAAATATTTGCTCTGCGTATTGTTATAAATAGATCATCGAAATTTTATTGTGGCGCAAAGCACAAAAAGGCGAAAGTGTTCGTCGTTATAGCAAAGCGAATGTAATTCATAACAAAATGTTTTGTACATAACACAAATTTAAATTTTTTTACCGTACAATATGCTGAGTAATGGTATTTTTAAATTTTTGTGTACTTTCGGGTTAGTTTAAAAACGAAAGATGTTTTAATAGTATTTGTACTCAATATCCTGTGTATGTATTCCGGATATATATAATTAACTATAAGTAAAAACTTGTAATTGGCATTCTTTATAGATATAATAAATATTAGCATACATAGTGTTACCTAGCTGTAAGTTTTTCGATGTAAATAAAAATTAAATAGCTTATTGAGTCCACGGGATAAGCTTATGGATTATGTAGACCTTTTAATGGGCATAGAAATAAGAGAAATTATAAAATAAAATATTCTTATTGTGTGACGCCTACGCTTCATCAACTTATGACATCTTAACTACACATACTTGTTTATTTTTATTCTTGTTTAATCGAGATTTAAAAGGTCGTTAAATAATTGAATATCTTAATTGCTTTTGCGAAATTTGGTCTTTGAAATCGATAGTTAAGCCCGGTCCACAAATATCAACGAAGTCACAGGCCTGTATCAGTGCTGCAGTGATATGCCATTGCTTCCATTTACACATTATTTAGTTCTGTATGGATCTTCATCAAAATGGAGTAAATTAATGAAATATTAAGTGAAGAGGCAATTCTGAGTGCTGATATAGTTATGACTGTCGCTAAGGCTTTGTTAAATAATATAGAGTTATTGAACATATTGAAACCAACAATCATTTACATTATTCTCTAATAAATGTTTTTATATTCTGTATCGATATATTTTGCATGGAACAACTCATACTATACGTCTTCCATTTTCTTTTTGACAAATCGTCATTTGCCATTGCCGGCACTAACACTAGTTGTACTGTATAGAGCTGTTATATAGATAGAGCAGGCATGCCCTGCCTCGGTTAGAAAGCAAGAGAAGATCACGGTACTTTATCAATTTATTGCTTATGGCTGCTCTTCATCGTGCATGCATTACCCAAGTGACCGATAGAGTTCTGTGGTATTCTTTATCTTTCTAGTCGGGAACTTCTCTGCTTACAGGCAATTGTATGTCTTCCCTATTTTATTTTTAGTTTTTTATGGAGCAGAGCTTTTTCATGATACTGACACTGACAGTGGTAAATGCTTTCATAGGGCATCGGTAATTCAATATTAATTAAATTTATTTGGCAATGGTCATCTACGTGAAATTGGCTTAATTTTGGTTGACACTAAGTAGATGGTAATAATAATAATCAAGTTGGCGTTACTGTGATTTCATTGATTCGTGTGCATAAAAATCATGGCTAGTTCTTCCTGTGTCATTACATTAAGTCTGGGCCTCAATAGTGCCCTAGTATTAGAAGTGAGCACATTAGTAGGCTGATAATGATAATGTTATATTAAATCTTTTCCAGGATCGAGATCCAGCCACGTCACGTTTACTGGTCGGAGAGTGGTAATCTAGTGTGCCTTGCTGCAGACGATGCTTACTACGTGCTCAAGTATAACGCTGCCGTGGTGACGCACGCGAGGAAAACTAATACTAACACCACCGAGGATGGCATAGAAGACGCCTTCGAGGTATATATGTTACTTTAAAAGAATAAAATCTAGAAATTCCTGTAAACCTAGATTATTTATCGGTAAAAGATTGAACAGTTCCATAATTTAACAACAGCATTAAGTCAACTGTTGCGTTGGTAAATCAGAAATATAATAGATAAGGTATACAACATTAATTCAGTATCAATAATTAAATTTTTAAGTTTACTTAATAATTTCCCTTAGGTTGTGGGTGAAGTGAATGAGACTGTGAAGACCGGCATATGGGTGGGAGACTGCTTTATTTATACCAACTCATTGAACCGGATCAACTACTACGTGGGCGGAGAGATTGTCACCATATCACATCTGGATCGAACTATGTATATCCTCGGATATGTTGCCAAGGAGAATAGGTGTGTATGATTCAAATGACCACGAGCATGAGAGCCATAAAGTGTCCCCATCTCTGAGGTTCCTGGTTCGATCAATTTAGAAAATTAACTTTTCTGTATTGTCTAGGGTCTGACTGTTACAAATTCATTACACTCGTACGCTTTATTGTCCATTTGTATGAAATTTACATGGAAAAAATAAGATAGGTATACCTCTGTTGTTTAGATTGTACCTCAACGATAAGGAGTTGAATATAGTATCATATTCAGTGCTACTGTCGGTGCTAGAGTATCAGACTGCTGTGATGCGAGGTGATTTTGAAACTGCAGACCGTGTGTTACCTACGATACCGCACGATCATCGTACTAGGGTCGCCCACTTCCTCGAGAAACAGGTGTGTAAATATGAAGAATAACGGTAACATTGGTAACTTTATTTGATTTTATTAGTGTATATGTGTGTCATGGACCAGGCGTTTTTAATAATGTGCGATCATTATGAATAATGTCTAGCTCTATCGGGCTATGTGATTTAATTTCTATCTAAACTTCATTATTTATCACATTGTATGGTCATTATTATATTGATATATGACAATTGAGCAAATTGATAATCAAGCTCAGTGCTGGTTTAAGCCAGGGCAGGGCCTGTAGCAAATTTTTTGACAATGGGTTGCTCGACATTAATATAAATGAAATAAAAGAAATTCAGAAAAACACACTTTTTTGAGTTATAATATAACATTTAATAATAAATTCTCCTAATATTTCGTGAGGATTTTCCAGTATACCAGATATATGTTCCACTTTATATTATGTATCTTTGATTTGTAATTATTTGGCATGCAGTTCCATAACAGATTCAGGAATTGAAATATGTACTATTTGTGTGTAGGGTTTTAAGCAACAAGCGTTGGCTGTGTCGACTGAACCAGAGCATCAATTCGAGTTGGCTTTGGCTCTCGGTGAATTGCATAGAGCCAAGCAGTTTGCTGAAGAAGCAGCTATTGCAGAGGGAGGAGTGCCTTCTAGGTAAGATACCGTCACCATCAAAACTGCTCACTAATAAGATTAATATTCTGATACTATTGCTTTTTTAAATAAAAAACCGGCCACCTGCTAGTATGACTTACGCATGAAGGGTTCCGTACCGGATACAAGCAAAAAAAAAAACACATTTTATATGAGAGCCATATTTAAGGGTTATTTATTTTATTCTGGTTTTTAGTATTTGTCTTTGAAGTGACAACAGAAATACGTCATCTGTAAAAATTTCAACTGTCCAATTTTCATGGTTCATGAGATGCAGCCTGGTGACAGACAGAAAGTGAAGTTTTAGTAATATGGTTCCCGTTTTACCGTCTGTGTATGGAACACTAAAAACGACCTTTTACACCTTGTACTCGCGACCTCATTATTATGTTCCGAAGTATTTATATTTTTATTCATTCATTTTGAAACAGTCAAGAAGCCAATGAATATAGATTGTGATTTTATGAATTTAGATCTAGTAGTGCCCGATGGTCTCGTCTTGGCGCGGCCGCGGCGGCTGCGGCGGACACGGAACTGACGAAAGCGTGTTATTTAGCGTCGAGAGACCATAGCTCGTTACTACTTCTCGCCGCCTGCACCGGTCAGTACTAAATATTCTACTTAAATAAATTGTTGAGTAACCTAGGATGATAAGCTCTGTTAAATTTATGATACGTCTATAGGCTTTTTGTGATGTTCGGGATTTCAAGTTTTAATAGAGATAATCTATGTTGAGGTCAATGTATAAAACAGGTTTTAAGAAAAGTATTTATTCATCAAAAAGATAAACCGGAGACAGAATTTTATTAATAAATTTTTGTTTCTTAGTTAAGTTTAATTGTTTCAACAACAATAATTTAAAAAAATATTGATGTGTTTAACTTTAGAGGTATATATATTTCAGTAATGAAATGAGTCACACCAACATATCAAAATATTACTATAAAAGTTTGCTTTTAATGGCGAACAAACGTGAGTTTTTTTAAGTTTTCAATATAATTTTCAATCTGCAATATAAAAACATCATTGGGTTTTTGTAAAAATAAGCCCCCACTAAGATATCCAGTATTGATCAATACAGTAATGGCCATACACACAAAAAAACACCCAGGTCTGGGTAAATCTGAATAAATAATAAGTAAAATAATATTTTAGTATAATAAATAATTCAATTTTCTCTTTTGTTCTTATTTTTATGTATCAATAAAATTTTTAGTTTGCTACACCTGACTTTACAATCAGTGTCATTTTGGTAAACATAGTTTTGAAACAATACAACCACAAAAATAATCGGTGTGACTTATTATGGGTATTAAAAATTATTTGATTTTTATTATTTAATTTAAATAAATATCTAAATTATACAAAGTCAAACAATTTTTTATAACGACAGTTTATAATTATTTGGAAATACAAATTGTCAGAAATGGATTTGTTAACAAACACCGTGAAACTGACTATAGAAGTATAAGTTTTGCGAATTAACATGACGCATAGGGGTCTAATCTATTTTTACTCAAACGAAAATTTAGGAAATTTTGAATACTTTTGTATGATTCTGCCAAAATAATACCCGTGACGATTATCTTTGCGGTGTCAGATTCTACCTATGTTGCATCATAAATGATTAAAAAAAAGTTTTTTAAAAAGTCGCTTTAGCATTTCGAAAGACGAGATTTTGTTTTCGGGTAAATAGGTTCTCAGGTGTCTTGTTAATTCGTGATAGTAGTATAATATTATTAGTTTGGATAGCGAGCAAAAATCTTATGTAATAATATACTAATAGTATAATTATCATTGATAACCAGGTGACAAAGCATTGTTCAAAGAAATAGCGTTAACGGCAGAAGAAGAAGGCGACGATAATATAGCTTTCGTTGCGTTGTTCTCACTGAACGAATTGGAGGCGTGTTTGCAGCTCCTCATCAAGAGAGACAAGTTGCCTGAGGCAGCGTTCTTTGCCAGGTGACTAATAAATAAATATAATATGTTCTACACAAAACTTTTCAAGTTCTGTCAGTTTCTCGATCGTATATTATGTTTTGTTTATGAAATAATTATAGTGCTTTTTCAAGTGCATAATTTTTACAATATGTTCTTTCTAGATCATACATTCCGTCGAAGATGTGCGAGGTAGTACGCTTGTGGCGTGAATCAGTTTCCGCCACTAACAAGAAATTAGGTCAAGCTCTCGCAGACCCCGAACAATACGAAAACCTCTTTCCAGATTACCGAGTATGTCTACTCATTAATAATCAATCAAATAATCATTAGCACTTTAAATGTACTGATTGTCACTACTGTATCCCTGCCGTTTTTATTACATTCGTGTTACTATTATAAAGATGGAAAGCCTCTAAACTAATAATTCAATTCAATATTTGAAAATTGTTGAAATATAACTATGAAAGTTGAAGCATTATTAATGTTCAATTATCAAATACTATAGTTCTTTCAGCGATATTTGTTTAGATATTTGTTGTTTAGAAACTTTCGAGCTACTCCGTGCTTTGGAAGGCACGTTAAGCCGTTGGTCCCGGCTGCATTTGCAGTCTTTACTACATTGAGTCAGCGTGGAGCAGCGTGGATCTTTAATGATAATTAAACATAAAACGTCCTTATGAATACATAAGGAAGGTCTGAGCCCCTGCAGTGGGGACGTGAAAGGGCTGGCAATGATAAATCTCAGTGATTGTTTGACATTCGCTAACAAAAGTGATATAGACATTTAACAAATATGCCTACAAATGTATTTTAATAAAAATATAATCATTTTGCACTTCCTCTCCGTATATCCGAACCGCGCAATTTTCGTAAAAAGAGGTTCCAAAGTTTGTGCACGTCTTATAATGACACAATGTTTTCTCTTATGAGAATACTCAATCAATATTATTGTATAGGAGTCGTTAGAATTAGAGCAATATCAACGCGAATATGGGTACCCTCAGAGCAGCTCGTTGGCGACGATGGAGGAGAATAGTCGCAAGTCTAACGTGACGAGGGATCTCACCATAGAGATGAGTGAGGCCGTCACGAGACCACGACATGTACCGCCAGTATCTACTGCGCCCAGGTAATCACCACCACCACCACCACCATAATTATCATCGCCATCATCATCACCTTCACAATCATCATCACCACCACCACCGTCATCATCATCATCATCATTATCAACGTGACCATAATTATCACAACCACGATGATATCACCATCATCACAATAGGGTAGTTTCGGTAGTGAAAAATAAGTTACAAAATTGCACAAACACAAATTTACATTATAGATTCTGATTTTGAAGACCGCGAGATTTTTTTGAATGTGTGTCACGCTAATTGAAACACGACCCGCCATTGTGCGACAGCTGTTATATTAGTCGTAAACATATTCATATTTTATTATAAATCCAATTCCTACATGTCGCTCTTCTAAGCTTATTTTATAGACATCTTTTAATTTACTACTCTATACATCTGTTTTGTCATCACCACCAACATCATCATCATCACCCTTCCTCCATTGCTGGAACACTATGTGATCAATGCAAATTGATGAGTGCTTATTTGTTCTATTACTCTGTATTTAGTTCTAATGACTACATAATTATATGTATTCAGTGTTATTGTAAATTTAAGATGATCGCCGCCACAAAATGGCGAATTACATACTAGCTACTTACTTTACTACATATCATTGAGATTCGAAGATCATCCAATCACGTATTAAGGTGTTAGATGAAATATTGTTATTTAATGGGATATTTGTCATTTAAAAAAAATATATATTTTATGTGACTTCATAGTCTAATGAAATAATTTTACAGTTTGGATTCTCGGTATGGTTATTTCATATCGCCCATGAAGAACTTGTTGGAGTTCTTTGGTGGTTCTTCTCTGTACAAAAGTTGCAACTTTAATTTGCGACATTTACAGGTCGGAAATTTACAGGACCAGATAAATAATTTAAAATTTTGAATCTTATAAATGGTACTATTTTTAATTAGATTTGGCACTGTTCGCTGTCTGAGGCTCATATGCCCATATTGGTGGCAATTAGTGGAAGTGGAAATTCGGAATTGTAAAATAAAAATTCATCATTTACTGCTATTTGCGACTAGGAATTTTAAAAATAATATACACATTGTCTATTTAAAATTGTGTGTTTTAACAGTAATAACAGTGCAGCGCAAATCCTCAAACCCACCCAGCCCACAATAGAGGACGACACAGTTGTGGAGCCGTCTCAGTTATTATTATCTGATCAACAAGAACCTGATAGTACCACTACCCTCAACATGGAGGAAATCGATAAGGAGATCGAGGCTATCTTTCTAGAGGTATACAACATTACTGTTCACTTCACTTATAAGTACAAAGCATTTAATTATATAAGGGGCCGTACATTAATCACGTGATGTTTTTTCCGCATTTGTTAAAAACGCTACCAGGGGTTTCCTTGGTGATACATGGTGAATTTTAAGACCACCACCCTCCCTCCACCCAATACAAAAAATCTTATTTATTGATGCTGCTTTTAGGTTTTGTTAAAGCGTTTATATATATTTGAGGAAAAAGTAAATACACATGATATATTACTACACTCCCTCCCTCCCCTTGTGATACTTCAAGGTTTTTGACGGATCCCCTACCCCCCTTCCGATCCTAACGTTATTAATAGACGGCCTCTGAGTCGTCAGTCGCCAAACAGAGAGAGACGTTGACTTTTGTGCTTATTGATAGATATCGTAAACATATTAGGTATATTTCACTATGTTTTGTAGTTCGTAATTCTCTCTGATCATCGACCAGGCTGTAGAAAAAGTTTTATCTTATATGAAAATATCTAAAAAAAAAAATAACAGCCCAAGTGTCCAAGATGGCCGAGCCCATAAACTTTCGCAACCATTTATACTAACGAGTTTATAAAGCATTTTTTATCATAGTCTTTAGAGTTTTTAAACAATTGAAAATTAAGATTTTTGCATACTTCATCGTATCATACCGTGATCGTATTAGAAAGTGCCAGATAAAACATGTTTTCTGTATTAAAAACACGAGGCTTTCCGTGTTCGTTCCGTGCTTTGCACGCTTTGGTGTTGGTCGGTAACAGAACTGTATCTCGTGCTATTTCAGTAAATAGAGGAATATTTTTTCTGCACGTGTGTAAGTTAACGAAACTAGAACGATTTATTATGAGTTACCCTGTAAATTATTTTAATATAACCCATAATTTTTGTTCCAGGACTTGTCAGACGAAGGCGATCTGTTGAATTTGGATTAAGGATTTAATTAATTAAATTTATTATATTTTTTTTTTATTATTTCGTGTTATTAAGAAAGTATGTATTTGCTAAAGTAATAATTATTACCTGTAAAATTAAACTATTATAAAAAAAGAATTGATTAGATTTTTCTTTGTTTCTTCCTGTAATTTAAATTTAACTGTACAGATTATAATTGTTAATGAGCATCACGTTGAAGCTGTAATTTTATATAAATAACATAGTACTGAGCCGTGATATTGTCATAATAGGGATAATTGTCATTCGAATCATCATAAAAAATGTGAATAAATGTATGAAATAAGTATACAAACGCGGTATTATTTGAGTAGTAATTATATAAGTTTCTGATAATATCGACCGGTGGTTTTTTGGAGTTTCGGAGTGTGATGCGATCTGTATAATTTGCACGAAAATTATTAAGTTCGAATTGATTTTATATTAAAGTACAAATGACAAATTTTTGTATTAATAATATTAGTTTTCTTTACAAATATCAATACATTTTGGCAAAGGCGGACCCACCGTTGTGGGCACGACGAGTATGCACACAACAGAGTTGTGAAATCAAATTTTCATAGTCTACTGAGGTTGATTGTCCACGTGGAACCACACTCAAAGTCTGGTCACGCCTCATAATTTTGGCAAAGGCGGATCCACCGTTGTGGGCACGACGAGTATGCACACAACAGAGTTGTGACATCAAATTTTCATAGTCTACTGAGGTTGATTGTCCACGTGGAACTACACTCAAAGTCTGGTCACGCCTCATATTAAAACATATTTAAAGGAATACATTTTTCATGGGGATGAACCAGGCAGATTCCTTGCATTTTGGATCCCGGGTCCTTCTCACCCCCTCCCAACCGGAGAGTAGTCGCAGCGCGTTTTACCAGGTAGGCCGGCCTCGTTTAAGCCTGTCCTTTCCAGGACAGGTGCGATGTCGAAGAGGCTTGATTTAAGGTGCATTTCCCCTGCATTATCAAAAAAGGAGTTAGTACTCCGACTCGCATTTGATCTGTTTTTGGATATCTTGACCGCGACTTTTTTACCATCTGGATCCACCTACACATATGGGCTCGATTGAAATTCGACTTGTACTTGATAATTTTAGATGCTATTTTTATACGAATAGCGGCATAACATTTCCTCATTGCGCGTTAATATAAGCTGTGGAGTTAGAAGGTTGACCAGAAATGCTAAGTTACATATCTATTTTTGGTCACTCAATTCAGGAAGTGATTTATCTATGAATAATTTTATTTCGTTTTCTGTTTGTGTCTCATACCACATATGATGAAATAGTATCGATTAAAATTAACAGCAGCCCTTGAACTCTTAAAAGATATAAGCACTTTACCATTGCTGGCATTGTAGGTTTGATTCCGTTAATACAATGCAAGTAATTATGACATTAATATTCTATAGATATCTCCTTTGACAAATAGCTAGATTACGAGAATTACAAAGTAATCTGTTGAAGATTCAGAAAAAGGGTACGATTATATATTATAAAGAGATTCATTCTTAGGAAACAATTGAATTCATAATTATTTCAAAGGAAAATACTTAAATAGGTAATACACCCAAAATAAGTAGGTGTCAGAGATGGAATTCGAAGTGCGGATATTGCGAGAATATTTACATCCGCATCCGTGATTGTGAAATCGAATCTCTTTCTCTCTCTCTTCTTACTTTTATATAACTGGAATAATATTTTCGGTAAATTTTATTTATTTCGGTACTGTATTTTTTTATCACATTAGAAACGTTGAATAAAATTATAACGCGCAATCAACATGATGCAGATTATTTCTAAGGATAGAAAAGAAGCAAAATAGGTGATAACCAAAATGGGTACCTTATGTGGATTGGTGAGTGTTACCGACTGCAGATGTACCTTTATCAGAGTCAAACGATGACTCACGGCATTGACGTCAACGACCACGCGTTCGTGACTGGAATTATAAGGTATTTTAAGGCTCAGCGTAGCTTACATTCTAAAAAATAATATAGGAACAATGAAAAGAGTTAGAAAATTAGAACAGTTCTAGTATTTCTTTGGAGGTAGTCAATTACAATTAACACCAGTATGATTATTGTGTTGCATACCTATTAGCCCTCGGTTAAAATGTAAAGTAGACTATACCCAATGACTAAAAAAAGGCGGTTTTTAGGGATAACCGTTATAATAATAATATTCTTCATTGTACACAGTACGTACTGACTTAGAAAGTAAAATAAAGTTAAATCAGATAGTCTACAAAATGGCGGCTTTAAAGGAATGCCACAATCTCTTTTATGTGATACTTTGTAATTCTTTTATGAGTATAAAAAATTTTTTTTTTAGTAGGACCTTAAAAAAGTCATAACTAATACTTATCTTAGAAGCGGTTTCATTGAAACTGTTATCAAAATCGGGCGAAGTTTTTCTGTAACTTATTAAAACGATAATTGCTCGCCCGACTTCAATAGCAGTTTCTTGATAATAATCATAATACGAGGGTCAAACTGAAAGTTCTTAGAACTGGCCACTTATAAACAATATAATAAAAAAATAATTCTAAAATTTGAAAATATAACTCTTTGCCAATATTACTGAGTATATATTTCATTCATTTGTCATTTGTTTTACGATTTGGCGGCAAATTGAAAATTGTCTGTGTCACGTCATCATGAACTTAACACGAGAAAATTTTCGTGCAATGATTTTTTATGACTTTCGATGTCATTTAAGTCAACAAGAAAGTTATGATAGACTACGATTGGCCTTTCACGATGAAGCCCCATCTCGTGCGACTGTTTACAACTGGTTTAATGAGTTTAAACGTGGTCGCACTAATCTCACTGATGATTTACGTGAGGGACGGCCTTCTACGGCGACGACTGAAGATAACATCTGTGTTGTGCGGCGTATGATAGAGACTGACAAAAGAGTGACCTATCAACAGATTCGGACAAGCTTAGGCATCGGTATGAGTCAAGTGCACAAAATCCTCCACGAACATTTAGCGGTCAGGAAGCTTTGCGCCCGGTGGATACCTCATAATTTGACTGAGGCTCAAAAACTCCATCGTGTGGATTGGTGTCGTAAAATGATTGAAAGATTTAACGGAGGTGACTCAAATGCTGTGTTCGACATACTAACAGGTGACGAAAGCTGGATTTACTGTTATGATCCTAAAACCAAAAGACAATCTGCTCAGTGGGTGTTTCCTTTCGAGGAGTTGCCAACTAAAGTGAAGAGAGATCGAAGTGCGGGAAAAAAATGGTGGCCTCGTTCTTTGGAAGGATAGGTCATTTTGCAACAATTGTGTTAGAGGATCAAAAAACAGTTTCTGCAGAATGGTACACTACCAATTGTTTGCCACTTGTCTTGGAAAAAGTTCGAGAGAAATGACCTCGCAGTAGGATCCTCCTTCACCACGACAACGCCTCGTCGCACACCGCCAAGCGAACGATCGACTATTTGGCGACATCAAACGTTGAATTACTGGGTCACCCGCCGTATAGCCCCGACCTCGCGCCTTGTGATTTTTATTTATTTCCAAAAATTAAAGAAAAACTTAAAGGAAAGCGGTTTATGAATGCTGAAGAAGCGGTGGCTGCGTATCGCGATGCCATTGAAGAGACCCCTAAGGACGAGTGGGCAAAGTGCTTTTCCCAGTGGTTCCATCGCATGCAGCGGTGTATTGACGTGAATGGACAATATTTTGAAAAGATATAATAAAACTAATAACTGGCTAATGTAATCAGTTTTTGATTTTCTAAGAACTTTCAGTTTGACCCTCGTATAATAAATCCGTCTGTATTAAAAGATTCTGATATCCCAATTTTTTAAAAGTCTGTTCTATTTTTGAATTTATTTTTTGTTTTTATGTTGTTAAAATATGGCGTCTAAGGTATTGGTGGTACTTGGTGAAAAGCATATTTTGTTTTGTTAAAAACAAACCACAAACGTAACAAATACAATACAAACTACTTATTCGATTTCGATAAAATTTATATGGGATCATTGCGAGTCCAAATATCGGAAAATCGGAAATTAGAAATCGGTCTCAATTCGCGGAACAATGAGTGGATATACATAAAAAAATATTCGACGGTGCTGTTACGGTAATAAATCGATCAATTAAATTTGTTCTCACACACATATATAATAATAATAATACAAATAAATTATCACTTTTTTCACAGTTTTCATACTCTATACTTTTTCGTGTCACATCCATTTTGTACTTAGCGTTAATATGTGCTGATGTTTTCAGAATAGGCTAACTTAATTTGCATCGAGTTGTCAATCCATCCCCTGCCTCTAAAGTCTTTGCATGCTTCCTGTGGAGTATCAAACTCCTTGTAAATTACATTTAATACCATGATAGAACTATGTAGGTATTTCACTTATATTAATAATCGACTAGAAGCAGCCTTTTTTACCATTAAAACAGCCAGAGACGCTTTGCGTAAACATAAAAATATGTCACTCTTAAAGAAATTAGATCAGAATCTTGAGATACCGAGATAGTACTCTTTAGCCTGTGTGCAGCTGCATTCCTTGCACCCGTATAAAAGACGGCACATCACAATATCCTTAACCACCTATTTTTTTAATATAATTCATATGATATTGAGTTTAATTTTAAGGAAGGATACTAAGTATTTTGAGTATTGGTCTAACCGGTCATGTTTTATGGTCATCGGAGAACTTGAAATTGGAGATACCAATGCATTCCACTAAATTCTTTGACAAATCTTTTACTGTTCAAGCTGCCGGTCTCTGGAATGCGTTACCGGAAGATGTGAGACATGCACAATCTATAGACAGTTTCAAAAGTAGACTTAAGGAGCATTACTTTTCACTATGAACACCGTTCGCTTTCTTCATCTTTGTATATATTTTAGTTTTGATATCATGATTATAATAATGTGTTTATGTAATCCATTATATTATGTACGTATTATTATTTAATATTTTGTAATCTGTAAGTATTTATTTGTATATCATATTGTAGGTAATAAAGATTCTTTTAGACGCCATAGCCTACCCAATTATAATTTATTTTTTCCTTTTTGTAACGGTTGCCTGGAAGAGATCGCGTCTAAGCG